GGTTTCTGACCTGGGGGCCAAGATCCTGGGGCAGTAAGTAGAACCAGAGTCAATTTATTGCTGAGAAGCAACGTTACAATGGATTCACCCAGGTCAACTCCAAGGAGTTAAGATTTAATCCGGTAAAACATCAGTTCGAAAGCCCCAAGACGTTAATTTTCAAGTACCAAAATTTTTGGTTCATACTACTACATCCAAAAGAAACGTTGTGAGCAATGATTATCGCAATCTTTTTACTACTTAACACGTTTAACCAAAAAACAAAAAAACAAAACAGTAAAACACACTGCAACTTGGCAACCAAATATAGGGTGTAACTCTAACATAAATGGCCACCTTGTCCAAACCTGCTTTTTCAGGTGGCCCTCACGTCCACTAAAGCCCGACCAATCTGGGAAAAGGTTGCTAATCCGTTTGGGCTTCCTCGAAGGACCTGCCCAGTAACTTCTCTGGCGAAAACCACGCCCCCAAACGCCGCTTCAGGTACCCTCCTGCCACTCCCATCATCACCCCACCCTAGAACTTGGGAGAGCACCAGCAGAAATGAGCGAGCAGTCTTCAGCGAGGGTATTTGGAATCACCACAAACCCCACTCTGCGCCGAAGCTCCACAGCGAGTCACGGCCCAGGAGGGGGCAGCCTTTAGTCCTACCGGAGGACTTAAAGATTGCCTCAGGTCAGTTTCCAGGTCCATTCTAGAAGCTTCTCGAACGGCCCAGCAGGAAACTAACCCAGAGGACCCACACCACCACCAGCCCTACCCTCCAAGCCAACCTGCGCCCTGTGCCCGGGTTGCCGGGGCAAGAGGAGACTCGAGCCGACGGTGGCCTCGAGGTTCACCCCAGCTCCCCGCACGCACGGCGGGGAGGGGAGGCGGGAGGCACTTGGAGGTGCACACACCGTTTGACCACTCTCGGGCGTTAGCCCTCGCCCGGCCGCCTCCCTGGTCACAGCACTTTCAGTGGAGCCAGAAAGGCCCCGGGAGGAGGAGGAGGAAAAGGCGACGAGCGGGGTGTGGGGTGCTTTCCTTCGCCAAGGCCGCGCTGCCCGCACACTCACCAGCTCCAAGGCACCAAAACCAGTCAGGAGGAAGACGCACGAAACGTGCCCCCGACGCTGTCTTTATAGCCTGTACAGCTCTCGCGAGAGTCAGAGAGGCTCAGAGGCACTGGACCGGGAGAGAGAGGAGGGGGATCTGGCCCGAGCCCCGCCCCAACCCAACGTAGCGGGAATGACTCAGCTATTTCCCTTTCTGGGGGCGGGCTTGGGTGCCNGTTGAGTTTCTTAAATTCTTCTGCCCTATCACTGAAAGCAATGATCTCCGTGGGGCACACAAAGGTAAAGTCAAGAGGGTAAAAGAAGAACACAACATATTTTCCTGGTGGAAAAAAAGAATCTCAAGTTAGCCTTTGATATAGACATCCTTGCTTTATAGGGAGTGGAAAGCTAAAGACAGTTTCCTATGGCAAAAGAGGTATTTTTAAGTTGATAGCCGACACAACAGCTAAATGCCAAGATGCTCATACCCAGATGTCTCCTAGCAGCTACTTTCAGAACCTCTTGCAGGAGGGCCTGCATGAAAAAGCAGTTCCTTCCAGTTCCATGCTTTATTTTTCTGCCTCCCTTATTAGCTGCCAACTACAAAACACACTCTGTTCAGTATAATTTTGATCTTCTGTGGGTAGTTAAAATTAGCATAAACGCCAAGTTCTCCAAAGAAAAGAAAGGATGCAGTTATCTACTGGTTAGCCCAATGCCAATGCTTACAATCAGTGCCCAGAAAAAGCTGAATTGCAGGATTCTCTGCTGCAAGGTAATAAGAGATCAACAAGAGGAAGTCAGAGCCTTTGCACTTCTTTCACAATGAACCACAGTAATAGAATGGTTAAGTTTTAAGTGTTCACCTGAATCACCACAAACATGTTCCTAACACGACTGATAAGAAAAAAATTTATAAGGCAAATGTTCCAAAAATCCTGGTAGGAAATAGGACTTCTAGTTGGAATTTTTACTGAAGTTACTCAGATTACCAACTGAAGTAGATCTTCAACAGGCCAGGTAGCCTCTCACACCTAATGGGCTGAGATATTGGAACAATTCCAAATATTTGGGTATTTCCAGGTAGCAGCAATGTTTAAAAGTCAAAACAAGTCGCTCTTTTGACATTCACTTTGAAAACCAAAATCACTAGAAATTCCTCTAAACAACCTATGCAGGGCTTTGCCTAACAAGCATGTTCAAGTTTCAACAAGTCAAGCCCTGGAGGCCGGAAGGCAGTTCTTCCTAAAACCTTCACCCTTGGGCCAGGGTCACCACCCTATGGTGCTACTTACCTTGTTAGCCAAGTTTCCTCCATAGGGCCCCACTAACCTGCTCTCATTCCAACCAACAAGTATGATGTGTTAGGAAACCTAATCACATGTTCTACCCAAAAGCTAACTCCAGGAACTGATTACTACATCAATAAGAAAGGTATACTTAGGGCTGGCCAAGTGG